GCCAGCCATGGGGAATTCTGGGAGTTGAAGTCCACACATCTTAAAGCAGCCAAGGTTGAGAAACTGTGAAAGAGAATCCAGCCAAGCTTTTTCCCAAAGGGCTACTGTTCTACATGCAAGGGATTTAATTAAATCAATTTATAGTCCAAGAGGGGAATCAAATTCAAGGCAGACTGAGAAGACCACTTTTGAATGTTTAATAGTTAATAAAGTTGCATTTTTGTAGAGGCTGCATTAAAAAAAAACCATGATATATAATGCAGGTTTTCCCCCAATGTTCTAGGACTTCCAGTCAGCACTTCCTGGCTGTGAATGATGGTTGCTGTAATCCGCACACATCTGGAAGCATCTGGCTGTGAAAGCTGGTCAGGCCAAATGAGGGATGTTAGCCCTGTCTCGAGTCTGTTCCCCTGAAAATCCACTAGAGGGCGTTCAGGATGAGAGTTTGAAGATACTGCATTTTCCAAAATTTAGGATTTAGATTTAGGGTTTTGCTAAGATCACCACAATTCTCTTCCCCTGCCACACAGCCTAGTTTAAAACAGGGTGTCTCAAGGAAGCAACAGGTAGATGCATCTCGGAATCAGCAGCAGCTAACTGCTGCAACAGCAGAGAAGACCACACGCCAGTGGCGAAGTACATGCCAGTTTCAATGCTTGGTATTTCCCCTTTAAAAGGATTATGAAGGAGGCACACTCCACCCCCACTCAGAGCTGCTATACAGTAGGTGGGCAAATAGTCCACCGGGAAAAAAAAAATAGATGAAAAAACCCTCCCAATAAATTAGCAAAATAAGGATGGTTCATCTCTTAATTAGAGCTCTCTTAATCAGGACTAAATCAGCCATCTGTTTCTCCCTTTTTTAAAAAGCAGGAAATAAATTGCCAAATGGGGGAAAAAGAGAGAGGAAAAAGAATGAAGCATCTTAGTGGAATTATACTAATTGCCCCATATAATTTTATTTCATTATCCCTGCAAAAGTGCTTTCCCCCCCCCGCCCCGTTTTGTTCCCTGTGATACCATCTGAGCAGCAGCCGAGGTCTGAGAGCTGGCATGTGGAGGCACCTTGCCAAGGGAGAGGACTGAGTTGGGTTCATGGCACAGAAGGGGCACCGCTGAGTTGAGGAACAATAGAAAGGATGTGGAAATGCACCCCCCCAGCACCCTACATTGGACAGTCCAAGTGCCACGCAAACAGCAATGGCCCAAACACCAGCACAGCTTCCAGCACAGGGCTGAATTTCAGTTTTATGCACTGTCAATCATTTGAGCTGGCTGGGCAAAAAACATTCCTTTAAAAAAAAAAGAATTAGAGGTCTTTACAGAAGGACTTTCTATAAACAGTCAGCAGCTAGAACGAAGCCCCCCCCCCCCCATTTAAATGAGTAGCAGTAAGAGAGAAAATTCATGCACACAAGTTATAACTGGAAAGTTATTTTGCAGCTCATAAATTCAAACAGCTGGATTGGTAATAGGGACCATACAGAAGTGATGTTGCACTGATTTTTACTGGCATAAACGACTGGCTTGGCCCAATTATTAAGAATGGAAGCGTGGCTTTATGAAGAAAGGTTTTGGTGAACTCGGCAGCTCACAGCTAGATTGGGAAAACAATTTAGCCTTGGATTTCCCCCCAGTTCTGATTTCAAAGGTAAACTGCTTCTGCATGAGAAGGTTCTGCCAGCAGCTGGGCCCAAGAGCGGTAACCATGTGTGAGTGCAACTAATTCTTGTACAGCTGGGTAGCTCAGCGCCCATCACACCCAGCGAAAGAATTTCAACAGCCTCTTTGAGCAGGTAACGGCACGCAGCGCTTCTCTTCCCCTCGTCCGGCTAATATCTGTTGTAAAGGTTCGTCGCTGCTTCTCGCCTCTTAAGATGCCTAATTCTACACTGCAGCCGTGTGGGCTCGATTTCCTCCCATCCTCGATCCTGGGCAGACACAATCGGTCTGAAAACACACAGGGGATGGTCTGCCAGTTCACAACTGGAGGAAATGCTTGGCTGAAATCCTGTTAAGATGCAGGCTGGGTTTGGAGAACACGCCAGGCTAAGATATAATTGTGTAAATTGTGCCGGAGTTGTGCTACTTTGGATCCAAAGCAGAAAGGTGCTTGTGACTGTCTGGGAATGTGAAGTAAACAACTGTTTGCAACTCCTTAAGCCAGCGGCAACTTAAGCCAACTTGGCAACTAAGCCAGTTACTCCTAGGAAAGTTAAAGAATAGATTATCTGCCTCCAATAATGCCTGAAAAACGGGAGAGGGACCCTATCGATACATCATTTTGCTTTATATCTCAACTTTCCTTCCACAGTAGATAAATCCCAACTCCCCTAAGGACTTTGCATTCATTGCATCAGCCACACCATTAACTTGGATGTTCTTCCTAACATTTGGGAGTTTAGATAGTACTTTTTTCGTTTTCTAAAGATACCTTGGAATTTTTTCTTACTGGGGTCAACGTTTGCCTTTTTCATTCTGAAAGAAAACAGATACATAAGACAGTTCCCTCAAAAATTGGGTTTTCCAGAACAGAACATGAAGGCGTCATATACGGGATTTCCTAACTTAGAAGGGACAGAAATTGCAACGCTCTGCCAGGGACGTGTGTTTCTGCAGGCAAGATCCTATTTTATTTTTTCTACAAGGGAGGTGAACCACTTTCTAGATCTCACTGTTCTAAAGAAGGAAGAACCAATCCCAGGCTAACACGCTACTCTCGAGCTGCCAATAGAAAAAGGCTAATGCTTGTGCCCTCCCCTCTTGCTGTTTTGCATAGCCACACCCCCTGCAATTTGGCTTCAGTGTGGGTGGGGTCCCTACACCACAGAAGCAAGGGCAGCAGACGTGAACACCCCCCGCCAATTAGCCAAATTTCCAAGCACACGTGTGCAACCAGTGATCCTCCAGATGTTGAACTACCACTCCCAGCATTCCCCATCACTGGCTGTGGTGGCACGCAAGGGCGCCTGGGAGTTGAAGTCCAAAGACAAGAACCCTGGCACACTCTTCAATATATTTCATTTTGAAAACACAAACTTATCGTTCTTGGATGGCAGGAAGACCTGGTGCACACCTCCTTTCCAAAAGCTGATATTCTAATCCAGTGGGGTTTTATTAGTGGCACATTTCCCATCTGGGGGATTCAAATCATCCCAGAGGGTACAGGGCAAATCATTCAAATTTTAATTCAGACTTTAATTACCATAAATGTTCTGCAAGGTAACCGGAAGGTCTCTAAAACGTGCCATAAACAATAAATGTAACAAGAGAATGACTTCGAAATGCACATGAATGTCCTTCTTGGAAAAATGCAGCCTTGGGTATCTATCTTGGCAAGACTTGGGTTTTTTGATAAAGGAATTGTGGGATTTACGATAAGAAAGCTAAAGGGATTTACTCCATCCTCGAGGCCACGAGATGCTGGCACTGCCTCGTGTTTGCACAAGCGCATCCATGTCATGTGGAAAAAGTTTCTCCTCCGGGTCTCCCAGACTCTGCTTCTCAAATGAGCCAGTTTAGCTACAGAACAGCCTCTGAGGGCTGCATCTCCATCAACACCTCCATCTGCAGACCCCCCCTCTGCAATTCAGGCCGCAACATGGCTGCAGATGTTCCCAGCCGCAAGGCCCCCCGCCTTCTCCCTCCGCCATGCCACGTAGGCAGGCCCAGGCTGGGAAACTTGGAGACAAAGCGCTCGATTCTGCTGGCAGGAAGCGGATGCCGAGCAGAATCAAGGCCAGACGCAGCCAGCCCGAACTCACAAGATCATTCCCCGTTTATATCTTTGCAATTTCTATTTCAACCGCCAAGGTGGAATCGGCAGGCAATTCCGCTTCTTTCAGCAAACGCAGCGGGTTGGAGAGGATGTAAGAATTTTCAGGGAATGATCCAATCGCCTTTGTTTCTACTTCTGCATAACATGGAGGCTTTCCCTGTTTTTCTTCCCAACCTTGAGGGCTAGAAACTTGCTTTAAAATCAAAAAGGCCCACGCAGGGCTGGGTGTCAGAGTTTACCCTTTAGCTGCTGAGATTGGACGGTGAACAAGGAAGCTTCTGGTTTAGCAGAGAGAGGTACCAGCATTAGAACAAGAGGCATTTTGTGAACTGGGCAAAAAGTTAAGTCAGTGTTTCGCAACCTTGGCATCTTTAAGCGGTATGGACTTCAACTCCCAGGATTCCCCAGCCAGCTTTGCTGGCTGGGG